TGTGTGTGTGTGTGTGGGCGGGTGTGTTCGAGGTCTTCTTAGTGTTCTTCCTGGCAAGCAAAGCCATCGTTAGCCTTGAGAGCTTTTCCATTTGGGGGAAGTATTCGGCACAGAGCAAGGATGCAGAGCCGAGCAGCATCCGAGCCGCAGGTGCTTCTTATCCCTCACTGAAAAACGCTCTCCCCAGCACGCCTTCCACCTCACACACTGCCCAGTGTCTCCACATCACGTTCATTTAAAAATTCAAATTTGGATAGTGTTGTTGCTTAATCTTGAGGCCACACTTTTCCAGATAGCACATAAAACCACAATTAACCATATGTAACATTTAACACGTAAACTTGCTAAGTGGATAGATGATCCACTGTCTCCTACCAACCATATACCAACATACATGCACCTTCCTGGATATATATGGATGATTTCTGGTGAGAGTGTGTAGCTTTATTGGCAAAACTTGGTCTGGATACTTCACTTCACAAACACTCAACAAACCATCTGTAGACGTGTTTGGTGTTTTCCATCTAACATACTCATGCAGATTTGGAAAATGTTATAACACTTGGCCAAGGTGAGAGGGTCTATCGATAAAGACAAGTTGCGAAAAAGTCGGATGCATACAGGTTTTAATGGAATGAATGATGATGTAGGGAATGCAAGTTACTTGTTTTGGCACTATATCTCAGTTAGGGATTATCCAGGTTAATGTGTTCTAAATAAATACAGATATGAATAAGAGGCAATAAACTATTCTTTTTCTGGTTGAGAGTAGAGGTGTGCTGGGTTCCCATAGGATGCAACAAAAAAATTCACCTGAACTAGAGGTTTTCACTTATATTCAGGTGCGAGCAAACTGTTGAGCTCACAGGGCAAATAAATATGGCCTTATGCTACTAGCTTGTTTATCCTATTCCAGATTTTGTCCCCTTTCTTGTTATAATAACATCTACTCTTCTGGGAAGGCTTTCCACTAGATTTTGGAGTGTGGATGTGGGGATTTGTGTTCATTCAGCCAGAAGATCATTACCAAACTCAGGCACTGATGTTGGCATGGTGAGGAGGCTCCAGTTCCGGTTCATCCCAAAGGTGTTCAGTGAGGTTGGGGTCAGGGCTCTGTGCAGGACACTTGAGTTCTTGCACTCCAACCTTGGGGAACCATGTCTTCATGGAGCTTGCTTTGTGTGCAGGGGTATTGACATGCTGGAACAGGTTCGGGCCTCTTAGTTCCAGCGAAGGGAAACTGTAACGCTACAGCATAAAGAGATGTTCTGTACAATTGTGTGCTTCAAACTTTGTGGCAACAGTTTTGTGAAGAATGACATATGGTTGATGTGTCGATGTGGTAGTTAGGTGCCCACAACTAAATATATCACCACTGAGATCGAGGCATGTGGTCAAGGCATGGTCAGTGCCAACTTTACTGAGCATACTGACAGTGCTGGCATCTGTATTTTTCCCCCAGTGTTTTCCACTATTTTCAGGGGCATAGTGATCGCGTTCCCACTTCAAATTTAAATCCAAATGCAGATACAGATTCTGTACAATTGAATAAATATGTTGACCTTCCAAAGCCAAAAAAAGGGAATATTTACAGCATGGATTAACAGTGATCTCAAAACAATGTTGCATTGACATCCTTCCAGTCAGCAAACAAGTTGCATGTTATGTTGTTGAGATTGCACACATCATGCTGATGTTGCCCAGATGTTTGTGCACTGTCTGGGATTTCTTCCCTGCTGAAATACCTTGCTGTGTGTATGTACCTGAAAGCATATATCTGAAAACATAAATTTTTATCATTCTTGGCAGGTAAAAGTGCATTATAGATGAAGACTTTCTACAGTCCAAAAACGTTTCTTTGCTTTACTGCAGCAAAGGGGGGGACTCTTTGTGTTTCCGAGATTTTGCATTTCTCATCCAGTCTCTCATGTGGTGTAGTGCAGGGCTAAGACTCGCGGGCTAGAAAAAAAAAGCCCCCATCACCTCACCAACACAGGCTTAATGCGGCGTTCTTTGTTTTTTTCCTCTCATTGCGCGTGCCCCACCAGAATTTCTAAGAAACATGTTTTTTTAAAAATATATTTCCTTTACTTTATAAAGCCAAATCAAACGTTTGCTGTACACTGCAGCCTCTTTATGTGCATGGGCTGGATAAAGCATCATCAGGGCCTTGAGCATCTGCTCCTCATCTGCAGAGGCAGACAAACCCAGCAGAACGTTTTTACCTGCATGGCCTCTTTATCTAATTCGTACCAATTAAAATGTACGTCCTTTTTTCCCTCCATCTTTCCATCATGCAAAAGTAGCCAGTTCAGTTGAAAAATGAAACATATAAATCTTCTTCTGTTGGTATACCGTATCGCTTCCATATAGCAGACGTGGTGAAAACAGATCCTAGATTTGCCATCACATGTGTCTAGACTGTGGATGAAATGGCAGGCTTGACCCGGTAGCCTGCTCTGGTCCAAGTTCTCGCGTTCTTCCTGTTGTACGCTGCTTTGTGCATTAAGCCTCCAGGGCCCAAGCCAGACCCCTAGTGTACAGTAAAGCTCAAAATGACAGCACTAGTTTGCTCACCTCAAGATTCTCATGACTTGCCTTCACACTTATCCTCACAAATCACCCCTCTGTCATTCTTCGAAGCTCAGTTGAATTATTTACAATCGCACTATCCGACGTCACCCAGATGAGTTCCCTTTTGAGTCTGGTTCCACTCAAGGTTTCATCCTCATTTCGTCTCAAGGAGTTTTCCCTTGGCACTGTCGCCTCTGGCTTGCTCATTAAAGGATACATTTATACATTTAAAATTAACCCGAAATTGATGTATTTCAGTAAAGCTCCTTTGTGACAATGTGCATTGTTAAAAGCGCTATGCAAATAAAATAGAACTGAATTGAATAGCCATGATGTGTTATGCCAATAGTTCAGACTTGCATGTTTTCACCCGTGCTTCGGAGGCTTCCTCTGGGTACTCCAGACTGATTGGCATTACGAAAGTGTCCATAGTATACGAATACTATATTGGTATACCTTGGTATACATTCGTATACCAATGGGTATACGAATGTGCGTGTGATGGGTTGTCAGCCGTCCAGGGTGTCCCCGTCTTGTGCTCAGAGTTTCCTGGGACAGGCTCCAGGCTCCCCCCTAACCCTGTGTAGGATAAGCAGTATGGAACATGGATGGATGGATGGATGGATGTCAAGCTTTCATGTGATGTCAATATATGTCAAAATATGTCTTGTCAAGATTTTAGGTTAATATATATCAAGATTTCATTTCAGATGTCATGTCAAGATATTTTGAGAGTTCTTGTCATGTCAGTAAATATCATGTCAAGATATCTTATGCCAATATATATGTCCAGATCTCGTGTCATGTCAAGATTTCATTTCACATACTATCATCATAACATGATATTGTCCTGACGTAACAGCCGTAGTAAGAGCTTTGTATCTTCACAGTTGCGTTCTGGTTGTTTTGTATTTGGACCCAGCAGTATATTAAACAACACCAGTGTTTATTCCTCTTCCTATCACAGGGGAAACAATGTTCAGTCACCGCTTCACCACAACTTCACTTTTCATTTAACTGCTACCTTTCTGTCGCATGATTTTATCAAACTTTTCTTATTGTGTTATGCGGATTTCTCTGTTTCGCTTCTTCTTTAATATTCTCTATTTTCCCGTCCCAGCAAATTTACGTGATTGTATTATCGACCATTTCTAAAGCTTTTTAATTAGTAAAAGACTAGCAGCCGTTTCTGATAAAAAAAAAAAAAAGAATGTCATGATGAGGTGTGTCTCGAACAGGAAGTCGATTTCATAGATAATTACAGCCCCAGGTTTTGATCAACATTCCAACACAGACACAACAGAGATGTCTTAACAGGTCTTTTTTTTATTATTCACACAAGATCCTGTTGCATTTTTTAAAGCAATCATTGTGTAGAAATTCCAGACAAAAGCTGTGCTTTCAGTTGGAGCCTGAATGGCATCACCACCCATCCCGCCTTCAGACAAGTTTAACGGTCTGACTTCTCACGTTGCCTGACTTCTCATGTTGCTTTCTCATTTTGTTTTGGAAGGAAGGTGCCAAAGACATTATTTATATTCACATCTGATGATAGACTGTGAAGTAATTCGAGCGATCTCATCGAACTGTCATCTGCTCACGAGAACATGTCAGAGCATCACCCTGGGATGGCTGCCTCAAATATCTGCCGGGTCTCTTTGGCATGGAGGTCAGCCATTCCGCATTCCTGACGACGGGATAAAGCTCCTCTAATCCGTTTTAACCAGGTAGCCCACGTTGGCAAGCACTCCCTCTGCATTCCAGAAGCATTCCGAGTTGAGGAAGTTGTCAAGGGCTCCGGGCATGTGGCATCTCATAACAAAGGGAGAAGCCCCATTCACAGAGAGATAACCTTTTAAAAAGTTTTGTGGGAAAGTCGATGGTGCTGAGATAATTTCATGTAGAATTTAGCATGTCAAATAAGAGGCTGAGGACCTGATGGCATTTGAAGCTAAGCGCAACACAAGGCAGACAATTTGAAAGTGTTTTGGCATAGTAACACAATGGACCAGGTTGTGCTTGATTTCATAATGGGCCTTGCTATTGTCACACACACATTTGCTCTGAGACACACGTAGGCCTTTTATCTGTTTTATCTGTCCCCCGTTGTCGTACTAAGACAAAGGTTTATCGAGCCTTTTCTCTGGTTGGTCCCAAACGTTGGAACAGTCTCCCTTTTCATGTGAGGTCTGCTCCATCTTTAGCTATTTTTAAATCTTCTCTCAAAACTTCTTTTTATTCTTCATGTTATAATGTTATTTATTGTGATGAATTTGAATGTTTTGTTCAGCACTTTGGATCAACTGCTGTTGTCTTTAAATGTGCTTTATAAATAAATTTGATTAATCCAGAGAAACTCACATTGATATCTCTTTTACACAACTGAGCAGTTGAAGGTTAAACTCAAGGGCCCAGCAGAAGCAGGCCGGAGGTGCTGGGATTTGAGCTGACGACCTTTCGAGTAGTAATCCAATGTCTTAACCACTGAACTACCACTGCCCAGTTCCTGTGTGCATGCTAATTAATCAGCGGAAACCCCTGAAGGACGGCGAGAACTTGCAACTCCACACATACCTGCTGAAGTGGGATTCGAACCCCTAACTCAGTAGGTGCGAGGCAAAAGAGCTTTCTTGATTTTAGAGCTTTTCTTGAGTGTAGCCTAAAAATCTAAACAGTTTCCCGATTAGGCTTAAATTCCCTTTCAGAATTCCTGACACTTTCTGCACACCTGGTTACACGAAGATATGACGTTAGATAGATGCTATAGCCGGGTTTTTTTTTTTCTTCTATAGATGGTGTAGAAAGTATTTCTTTCCACTACGATTCTCCAAGCAGCAAATCACACTGCAGATGAAGTAGAAGTATGCTCTGAAGAGATTAAAAATAAATACATGTTTTTGGTTAATGGCAGCATTTGGTTTTATTTACACTCTAGGCTTTGTATAAGCAGAGTAGGCTATTGTTTGTAAAAATTGGAGTGGAAATGGTGTGGAACGCTGGAGCAGGAACGTTAAAAAACATCGTTTCTGTTCAGAACTAACCAAAATGAAAAAGAACTTGTTTCCACATCATGTTGGCCTTACCTGATACGCATATTCGTCCTCTTACGCGAATATTACCAGTCATAGTCATAGAGGAACCGTCAAACAAACAAACTAACAAAAAAACCAGGACCAACAAAGAACAGGCAGAGATGCCCAACTCAGATCAAACAGTGCTGCTTTTCCTCAATGGAGTATTAAGTTTGGACAAAAAAAGCTTTGTGATATACTTACGACTGTCATGTTCATACTGTAAGCGATCAGCAAATTTTCAGTGATCTGTGCGTACATGTGTTATTCGTTCCGAACGGATTGAAACTCTCTCTAGACCCCAGAGCGGCTTCTTCTGATGAGAAACACTGCAGTGTTTGAACATGACTTCCAGTGCTTGTGTCAGAGTTAATAGCAGATACAACGAGCACAGCGGTGTTTGCTAACCGAATACCAGTGCATAGGCCTGTATTTTATACAATAATCAATTAGGGATGTCGAGTCATGTGTGTTACACTTTTTTGAAACTATACCAGAGAGAGTCTACCAGTTATTGTACATTCTTTTCCAATTGCATCAGTCATATAAAGATCCATTGAGAAGAATAAGGCTTTCTGGTCTCTCTCGCTTTTTTTTTTTCTTTTCACTCTTTTTTTTTTTTTTGAGAGGATATCTAATTATCTTGCTGTCTGGTTCCACTCGGATGCTGAATAAACATCCGTTCTTCTTGTTAAATTCCATTTAGGTTGGGACACAGAGAGCCTGTATGTTGGAAGAATGCATAGTAGGAATTGCATTTCATAATTTCAGATTAAGAAGACAAATTCTTTAGTGAAATGGGTGATTGTGTCAAACGCTGAATTGCTTCAGCATACAGAAGAACTTGGAAGCTCAGGATCTTCAGGGTTATTGGGTCATATTTATGCTGGTCACGCTGGTATCTGCTTCTTAAACCATTTTCTACTAACATGATGCCAGCGCTATGCTTGGCTCAAAGAACCTGTGTAGCTTTTTAGCAATCTAGCATCAGTTTAAGAACCAGAACTGTAATCCCATCCATCCATCCATCCATCCATCCATCTTCTACCGCTTATTCCTTCTTCAGGGTCGCGGGGAACCTGGAGCCTATCCCAGGGGGCATCGGGCACAAGGCGGGGTACACCCTGGACAGGGTGCCAGTAACTGTAATCCCATATTTCTATAATCAGATGTGGAGGTTAACCTTATTTTTATCTTTATGCTTATCCTTTGTGGAACATTTCTAAATATAAAAAAAAATATATAAAAAATGCATCTACAGTGTATAAAAAATACATTTTTATAATTGTTTTTTATTTTTTTTGTTTGCATTTTTCTGTTTTTTATCATTTCTTTTGTTCAATTACTTCTTCTTATTATTAATATCAAATTATTATAGTCATTTATTTTGTCTTCCTCTGCAATAGAGATGGCGCCGATCCAATGGCCAGTATCAGTATTGGGTTGATACCAACAAAACATGGTGGATCGGATATCTGAAAGAACATATCGGATATCAGATCCTGTAACAAATGCAAAGATTGGAATTGGATTTAGAAAAGTGTTGTTTTTTTTGGAACGGGAAATGTTCACATATAAAGTTTTGTTAGGAATGATATTTATGCTTTATACTTAAATAATAAACTATAAGAAACTCTGTGTGTTTCCATTGCAGGAACTTTTTCCAGAATATTTAGACGCATTTCCAGTGCAGGAAGTTAGGTGCGTTTTCATTTTTTCAGGAACTTTAGATGTGTTTCCACTGAAGGCTTTTTCAGGAACCTTTCTTATGTACATTTTCAACTCCGAAACTATTTTGAGGACTTTTAGGCTTGATTCCACTGTAGAGTTTTTCCCCCAGAAACTTTAAGTGCATTTCCACTGCAGGAACATTTTCAGGATCTCTATTTGTTTCCACTGCAGGATCTCTTGGAGGAACTTTAGATGTGTTTCCACAGTTTTTTTTTTAAGGATCTATTGCTATCATAAAAGAAAGTGGTATCATGCCATCTCTGGTTTGTAATTATTCTCATTCTTGTTTTGTAACTTTTTTTTTACTAACCCTTTTATTCTGATGACTTCATCTGAATATACCCTTGTCCTTGTTTTCCTTATGTTGTTTCTTAATGATTTATATTTTTATTATTATTCCTGCTCATATTATGTCCCTATTTGTTTCTTCTTCTTCTCCTTCTTCTCCTTCTTCTTCTTCTTCTTCTTCTTCTTCTTCTTCTTCTTCTTCTTCTTCTTCTTCTTCTTCTTCTCATGTTCAGCAAGCAAGTTTTGTTAGCTTTAGTGGTATAGCTCTCATTTAGAGCATTGGAAATACCATTGAAACAATAGTTTGTTTCTAAGCTATGATACTGCTTCCAAAAACACGTTAAAAACATCACTTTTTATACTCCAGGCCAGTAGAGAATTTTAATTGGTTTAGTTGTTTTTGCCAGCCAAGGGCTGTCCACTATCACTATGAACCGGATGCTGAGGAACACAGCTGACTAACAGCAGTAAAGCTCCAAGGACCATGAGACACAGCCGCTGAAATCCCTGTGAGATTCTTGTGGTCGATTGAGACCTTAAACAGCGAATTCCCAGTCAGGTTAATGGTGTTGAGTCAAGGCTGCTCTCGGCTCTTTGCTAAGGTCACTGAAGAGTGTTTGGTCTTTCGTTAACATGGTTTGAGAGACTCCTACAAATCACTGCAAAAGTTGACTGCAGCTGTAGTGGAGAGATTAAACTTTGTGTAGATCATCTCCACATATTCAGATTCACACTGGCCTGTTAAGACTTAATATAAAACGCTGGTTTCTGATATACAGAACATCGAATTACGCTTACACTCTTCAAACAGTATAGTTTTAAATTATGTGCATGATAATAAGGAATAAAACCCTTCAGGGCATGCTCTTCAAAATCAACAACAGGGTGGTGTGATGAAGCGGAGTTACTGTAGTGTTTTATTCCTCTTCTGCCTCGACAATTTGCCAACATTGACTATTATTATTACTGGAATGACATATCATACTTTAAATTTTTTTTGATACAACCCTAATCCGAAAAAGTTGGGGACAATATGGAAAATGCTAATAAAAAGAAAGAAGAGTGATTTGTAAATGTACTTTGACTTGTGTTTAAACAAAAGTGTCCTAATCAACTGCATAGTTTTTTGAAGATTAACGTTTATTTTGAAATTGATGCACGCAACATGTTCCAAAAAAGTTGACACAGGGGCAATTTAGGACAAATAGCGATGTGAAAAGTTGAAAAAAGAAGGTGATGTGAAACAGTTGAGGCAATCATCTAATCATAGTATATAGAAAAGGCCTAGTACTTCAGGAGCAAGGTTGAATCGAGGCTCGCCAATCTGCCAACCGATGCGTCAGCAAATAATCCAACACTTTGAGAACAACATTCCTCAAAGACAAATCAGTTGGATTTTGGGCATTTCACCTTCTAAAGTGCACAATATAATTAAAAGATTCAAAGAATCAGGCAAAACTCCTGTGTTAAGGGCAGGGCTGAAAACCACTTCTGTATGCGTGTGGTCTCCGATCACTCAGATGTCACTGGCTTAAAAACCGTTCTGAGTCTGTAATGGATATCCTGACATGGGCTCGGGAATACTTTTTAAACCTTTATAAGTCAACACCATTTGCCGTTGCATCCACAGATGCAAGTTAAGTGGTCAGATGAGTCGACATTTCAAATAGTTTTTGGACAAAACAACCGTCGTGTTCTCTGGGCCAAAGAGGAAAAGGACCATCCAAGCTATTATCAGTGTCAGGTCCAAAAGGCAGTGCCTGTTATGGTATGGAGGCATGTCAGTGCCCATGGCACATCTGTGAGGGCAATAATTGCACATCTGTGAGGGCAGCATTAATGCAGACAGATATGTACACATTTTGGAGCAACATATGCGGCTGTGGCGCAGGTGGTAGAGCGGGTTGTCCACTAATCGTAGTGTTGGTGGTTCGATTCCCGGCCCGGGTGACTCCACAAGTCCGAAGTGTCCTTGGGCAAGACACAACCCCAAGTTGCTCCCGATGGCAAGTTAGCGCCTTGCATGGCAGCTCTGCTACCATTGGTGTGTGAGTGTGTGTGTGTGAATGGGTGAATGAGACACAATGTAAAACGCTTTGGATAAAAGCGCTATATAAGTACACCATTTACCATATGCTGTCAACCTGAGCAGGACAAGTCCAAACCACATTCTGCCCGGATTACATGGTTGCGTAAGCAGAGAGTGTGGGTGCTAGCATGGCCTGCCTCCAGTCCTCTCCTGTCTCTGTTTGAGAATGTGTGGTGCATTATGAAGTGCAAAATAAGGCCATGACGGTGACACAGTACAGTGACACAGCTGAAGAATTGCATAATGGATGAACGGGGGAAAATTCCACTTGCTAAACTTAAAATTCCACTTGCTAAACAACTTCAGCATCCAAACACTTA